GTCCCCAAATGGCCACAGTGGCTTGCACTGGATCAGGTGCAGGCCAAGAGCTACCAGCTCCATGTGGCTCTCCCACGTGAGTAGCAGGGGAGTGAACAGGAGGGCAGCATCCTCTGCTTTGCTAGGCACATCAGCAGGGGGCCGGATCAGAGGGATTCTCTGAGACCCAGAATTCTCCTACTGGATGGCAGCTTTCGGGCAGTGGCTTAACCCTCCTTAGGATGTATTTTAAGCAGTGCTTCTCAAACTTTTGTTTGTAGATCCCTGGGGTATCTTATTAAAATGTAGATTCTGGACTCAAAAGATCAGGGCTGGGATGCTGTGGTACTGCTCCTGGTGCAGGGAGGCAGGACTCAGATTTTGTGTCCTTCACAATATGCCACCCTGCGAGGAGGAGGAAGGGATGGAAGTGATGGCAGGACATTGTCTTTCTTGGGTCATGGCTGCAGATGTGGAAAGATGAATGTGGCAGCCATGAAGCTCAGAGTATGTTATTCTAGATTTTTTTAATGATATACTTATTTGTCCATTAAGTCATTAAGAAGGGGAGGAAGGCACCAATATTCCATCTTCTGGGTTACTGTCCAGATATCTACTCACCCAGCAGTGCCCAGCCAGGGCGAAACCAGCAGCCAGAAGCTTCAATGGGGTCTCCCACATGGGTGTCAGGAGCCCAAATACACCAAATGGTAAAACTTATCTAGGACACCAACATTACAGGGGTGGTTTTACCTGATATACCACAATGCTGGGTCAAACATTTTTAAACGATACTGTCAATTTCCTTGCTCCAGATAATTTAAAAATGACCCCCTTCAGTCAGCCAATCACTTTGGTGTTTTTAAAGATTTATTTAATTTTATTGGAAATTCAGATTTACAGAAAAAGAGAGACACAGAGGAAGATCTTCCATCTGCTGCTTCACTCCCCAAGTTCCTGCAATGGCAATAGCTGAGCCAATCTGAAGGCAGGAAGCAGAAGCTGGTTCCGGGGCTCCTACACAGGTACAAGGTCCCAAGGCTTTGGGCCTTGACCTACTGCTTTCCCAGGCCACAAGCAGCAATCATATGGGATTCCAGCACATCCAAGTTGAGGGTTTAGCCACTAGTCTATCACACCAGGCCCTCTGTCATTTAGTTGTATAAAATATTTTCAAAATACTCAACATTGGGCCTGGCACAGTAGCATAGTGGCTAAAGTTCTCGCCTTGCACACACCAGGATCCCATATATGCACTGGTTCTAATCCTGGCAGCTCCACTTCCCATCCAGCTCCCTGCTTGTGGCCTGGGAAAGCAAAGATGGCCCAAAGTGTTGGGACCCTGCACCCACATGGGAAGTCCGGAGGAAGCTTCTGGCTTCAGATAGGCTCAGCTTTGGCCATTGCAGGCACTTGGGAAGTGAACCAATGGACGGAAGATCTTTTTTTCTGTATCTTGCATCTGTATATCTGCCTTTCCAATACCCGAAGACATTCAAATATCAAAAACATGTAAAATAAAGGCTTTACTAAAGATTTGTTTGAAAGTCAGTGACAAAGAGAACGGGATACACTATGAGGCATCAGTTGATTCATTCTACTTATGACCGCAACAGGCAGGACTGAACGAGGCCACAGCCAGGGGCTTCTTCCAGGTCTCCTACGAAGGTGGCAGGGCTCTGCAGACTGGGGCCATCATCCATTGTTTCTCCCAGGTGCATTAGCAAGGAGCTGGATACCAAGTGGAGCAGCCAGGACTGACTTCCTCATGGGATGTAGGCATTACAGTATGCAAGCTTCACCTACAACACCAGCTCCAAAAACTCTACTCTTTTTTAAGATAATTGGGCTGATCAAACAAAATATGTATCTATTGGCTCAAAGGGCCCACAGGCCTCTAGAAGACCATAATGTTGATAAACCTGACAATGATTCAAGAGGTTCCAACAGTACAAACTCTCTATTGCTTCATTTTTTCTCTGATTATCATCACTTGATAACTGTTAGAAAATGAAATCATTCTGGATGTGAGCTCTGGTAAGGGTGGGAAACATAATTGATTCAGGGGAAATGCTCCATGCCCTCCATGGAGCAAGCTGCATGTTTGCCTCTGTTTTCAGTCCTGAGTTACATTGCTGTATCAACACAACATGTGAGTCAGGTAATATCTGGTATATGTTAATGCACAAAGTGAGCCTTCAGATAGGCTTTTTCAACTGAAACAATTTTTTTTTAAAAATACTAAGATAAAGTTATTCAGGGACTAAATGTCCTTTTCTGTGAAACAGTAATTTGAAGTCCCTACATTAATAACCAAGGAAAAATACCTAATTGGAATCCTAACACGGTACAAATCATTTCATGTTCACCCCAGCCAATAAGGCAAGGTAGTTGTACAGTCAGAAACTGATAGGAGCTGAAATAAAGCATCGACTTTTGCAGAAGAATTATTAAAGAATATTTTAATGTAACAATTCTGAATAAAACAGCTGATGAGATAAAAAGAAACAAATTAATATGAATGAAACTGTTTTCAAAGAATGATACCCAAAGAGATGATCCATTCTACTGGTATGAGAACAAGTAACCAAGCAGATTTTTAATGACCCATCTGTCACATGAGATCCATTTCAAATCTCTGCAGATATTATTTATGTGAATCAACCAAAATTAACTATCATTGAAAACACTGTGGATTTTGCTTTAATTTTTTAATACTTACCTAATTTTTGAGACCTAAATCAATTCCTGGTTATAAAGCGACCATTTTTTTTTTAATCAGTTAATATTTGGTTATTTGTTTCCAGCACTGGATTTGTAACTTTTCACAGTATTACTGCAAGTCACTTTGACCTGACATATGACTTCTAATGAAATATGGTATACATTGTGGTAGAAAAATAAGAAACATTCAATAGCTTATGAGAAGGGTACTTTAAATATAAACATTTGTGATGGCCAATTTTCAACCAAATCCTTTTGTTTCAGGCTACATAAAAGGAAATGAAAATATTAAAAGGTCTGGTTCAGCTAAGATCTAAAATACAAATATAAGTAATTATAGGAAATCATATACTAATCATATAATCTCAGTATTATTAATACTAGCATTAATTATATTCATGAGGCATAATGTATTAATAATGTCCATATTACGAATCAGTCCTTGGCGATCATTCCTGACTACAGCCTGATGAGAAGGAAGCCCCAGGCAGAAGTCTAGAGATGAAATGCTGATGTAACCCCGTGAGAGGCTGACACTCTTTTGTGAGATCTCACTGATAATCCTGCCTCTCTGCCACAGGAGGCTGTTGCAAATAATTATCCTTACACTTGATCAGACCCAAAAGGTCTGCCACACCATAGGAAATGTGGTTCTGGGTGCTTAGTTAATGTCCCGTCACAGCATGGAAAAGCAAGAAGCGCTTCAAGCTGTGATATGTGCATTTTTTTTTCCTTTAAAAAATACTTTTCTACCGTTAGAATTCAGAGATATACTGTTAAAAAGTCAGACACAACCTCACTTGGATTAGCATAGTTTTGCGATTCTAACTGGCTTGCATAAAACACTTTAAATTCAGAAGTCCTGAGAAATCAGGGACCGGCGTCATGGTGTAGTGAGTGAACCTGCTGCCCGTCACACCAGCGTCCCATCTGGGCACCAGTTCATATCCTAGCTGCTCCACCCGACTGATAACCGCAACATCTCTGCCTCCCCCCACCCTATGTAACTTTTTAAATCAATCCTTAAAAAAAAAAAGCACAGACATTAAAGCACGTTTTCAAATTGCTAGCAAAATATGAGGAAAAGGGTAACGTACAGTGATGAAAACTGGACTTTTTATAATCTGAAAATGCACTGCCAAAAGAAATTAGCCTCAATGAAGCATTTATAAAGTTTTGCTTCAGATTCGTTGTTATGATGAATCAATTTGACTGTGTGTGTTTTTCTCCACCACATTAAGGACAGGGTTGTGACTAAGGGATGTGTAGTGCGTTTGTACTATGGAAATGTTTGTTGCTGTAAAATACAATTCTGCTCTATATTTGGTGGCTGGGGCTTGGTCTAACAAAGATGTCACTATTGACAACCACTGCTATTGTCAATGTGAATGGCATTGGTCTGCACTTGAGACCTTAGTGGAGCTCCCAGCTTTGGCCCTGCTCAGGTTTTGCTGTTATAGTCATTTGTGAAGTGGGTTAGCAAATGCAAGATACTTTTCTTTCCCACTGTCGCCTCCAACACCTGGCCTTTAAAATAATAAATAATCTTTAAAATAAAACAAAAACAGCTCTTGCAATTGACATCAAGCGGCAGCAAGTTAAGACACCCTCTGTGATTGAGATATGTGGGAAATCATCCCGGGTCTCTGCCTGCTGCCTGGTGGGTGCGACCTAGAGCTTGTCTTGTCTAGGATGTGACTTCCAACCCTGCATATAGATGTGACCTGATACGATTGGAAGGCCAACAAAATTAGGCTTGCCTTTCATCCAATCACAGTGTCATCACTGGGTGAAGGGACTACCTGAAAATGCCTTCCTCCCCTCCCTTTTCTTAGATCTTTACAAACCTGGCACTGGGGCTGAATAGCTGAATAAACACTTTCCTCACCAGCTTGTCTCTGGTGTTTCTTATGGCCAGGGAGTCACCCTTGGTGACCCCAGGGCCTGCTGGCAGGCCTAAACCCCAACAGTGATGTCCCTTAATATAGCTCTGGTTCAAGTCCCAGCTACTCAGCTTTGAATTTAGATCCCTGCTAATGTACCTGGGAAAGCAAAAAACTGGCCCACGTGCTTCGGGTCCCTGAGCTGTGTAGGAAGCCCAGATGAGGTACTTGGTTTCAGCCTGCATCAGTCCTGGCCATCTGGCCATTTAGGAGTGCAGTAACAGACCCAAAGTCTTCTCTGTCTGTAACTCTGACTTTCAAATAAACAAACTTTTTTTTTCCATCAGCTTCCTTGTGTCCCTCAAGGTTGATGGCTTCTGAATAATATATCCATTAAAAATAAATAAATATCAGTCATAATTGCACTTTTTATTTAGCTTGCATTAACCAAAAATTTTACTAGAACAAAGAGCATTAACATTTCAGAATTTTCACAAAGTCTTTTAATAAAAGCTTCCAAATAAAGCAACTAGAATTTTAGATAAGGTAACTAATAAGCCAGTCAACCATAAACAAAAGTTACCCAGAACTGTCATACACATAGTTAACCTTTCCAGCAGTGGGGAAGCATACAAAAACCACGGGAACGTTAACAGTATGAACTTCAACAGGAGTAAAACAGAAATAGGAAACAGCATAAGGACGAAAATTTGTGAATTACAATGTAAACACCTTGCAAAGGGAAAATAATGCAATTTTAAAGTCTCAGCTCTTTCCACAGTTAACCCTCTTTAACTAGATACCGGTTTTTGCTTTTGAGAGAAAGAACACTGGTTACTTGGGAGCCGATGCTCTGTTAATCACTGCTTGCTCTATACTACAAGTTACTTCTGCGTCCTCATCCTCGAGTCTTAAAAAATTAAACTGGGTAGTTGTAAAGGAAACGGGAATAGGTGCCACCTCTCAGCTAAGTTTTAATGTCTCAGGCGTACGTTTACAGAGACTGAGTTACTGTATTAGGGCCTGGATGTCAATTAGAGATGTCAAGTGGAAAAAAAAAGTGATCGGTGAAACACCAAAAGGCAGGTTCAGTTTGTTCAATCTCAGATGTTTTAACTCCTAATTCTGCCTGACCAAATGGATACCATTTGCGTATTGAGGCTTGTTACCAGAAAAGTTTTACAGAATGAATACTTCAGCTTTTTTTAATGGGGGTGGCCGGGGTGGGGGGAGGGAGTAGAAAAAAGAAATCCAGATTCGATAGCCCCTTGTTACTTATTTCAGGAAGAATGTGAGTAAACTATTCACACTTAGGGCTTAAAGATTATTGAGAAATAGAAACGTGCTGAGAAAAATACCGGGCCTCATCAGAGTAGACTTCAGTAATTCGGTCTATCCTAGAACTGTCCCCGCCGTGGCATCCCAACCACAACGGGTTAAGGGATGGCATCAGTGAAGCAACAGCAAGCCGGATGCAAAGCTTGACGTTTTTCTTCAGGCAAAAAGCTTGTGCAGCTGTGTGGTTCCAACACCACCAGTTTAAACTAATCCTGTTACCTCTAACACACTAAAACATGTCCAAAATGACTTACATAACACTTAAACTAACACAGCACTCTATTGCTTCCAAAATAGGATTCTGTATTCTAAAGGGCTTGCCAAAAATTACCTTATAATTCTGAAATTAGATGTTTTTGGTTCCAAAAACCCTTAAACTATCTCAGTACATTTTCCATTTTTTTTTTAGCACATTACTGTTTTTAACAGGTCACCTTTTAGTTCTCATATGCAGCTTTCAGTTTTAACTATTTCAAAAATGCAGTTACATTGCAAAAACATCCATATTGCCACACATTCCTACTTGGTATAATCATATTGAGTTATTTTGGGATATGTACAGTGACTTTAAAAAAAAAAAAACCAACAACAAAAACTCACACCCACCCTTCTCTTCCCTTACCTCAATTAAAAATAACAACAAAAGAAATAGACAACAAGAAATAACATTATAAGAAATTAACCATAACCATTCAGATGTAGGAATACACAGGTCAGCTTTTGTACCCATTCTCCATGCTAGGAATAAAATGAAACTACAGCCACTACTTCTCTAAAGCCTTTCAGGAAGCGCCCGTGGACTTCTGGATCTGTTCCTTTAGGATCAGGATACTCTGCCTCTGCTCTGGCGGCAGCATGGCTATCTGATCTGCGGTTAGCTGGAGAACCTGCATGATCAAAGCTGCCTTTTCTTGATCCTGTGGAGTAACCTGGCTCTGCCCAGGACTGAAGCTGCTGGGCTGGCCTCCACCCTGCTTACCTGCACCCTGCATGCCCACTCCTTGCATGCCTGCTCCCTGCATTCCTGCTCCCTGCATGCCTGCTCCCTGCATGCCTGCTCCTTGTACGCCTGCCCCTTGCATACTGCCTCCAGGATTCCCCACTCCTGAAATGCTTGGGACCTGTCTGGGTCCCTGAGGTCCACCTGCCCCGATGTTAATGGGGCCAGGACCTGGCATTCCACTGGCCATGTGGCCTCTGGCACCGGGGACTGGGCCCCTCATCTCCAGTCCTCTGGATTCCATTGCGCAGGTCTCCATTGCTCTCCTCTCCATGACTCGGGGCTCTAAGACATCCGTTTCCATGGCTCGGGGTTCAATCACGCGGCCATCTCTGCTAACTCGACCATCCATAGGCAGACCCCGTTGATCTAGCATGGGTCCTCTGGGTTCTCCCATGAGCATTCTGGGGTCTCCTATGGGCCCTCCCCTCATCTCATGGGAGGCAGGGCCACGGCTGTCATGAGCAGAGGCATGGTGCATAGGGGGGCCCTGATGAGGCGGGCCCAGATAACCACGAGGCTCCACTTCGCCAGTGACTGAAAGCAAAGTTCCTCCACGTGGGTCATTCGGAGCATCTCCCAGCAGTCCTCGAGGGGGGAGGCCCCCCGCAGTCATGGGTCCCCGAGGCATAGGAGCGCGGGGATCTGACATCTGCACTTGTCCCCGCTCCAAAGGCACTGGGCCGACCCCTGGCATTCCGACTTGGGGCTGCATCGCCCCTCCAGGAGTTAAGGGCCCGGGCCCGGGCCCAGGCACGGCGGCTGCGATGGGCCCAGGAGCTGGCATTGCACCTTGGATAGGCGTCTGCATCAGAGGAGGAATGTCCTTGACGGGCCTTCTGGCCAAATGTTGAGGCTGAGGACCTGGAGCATTCTGCTGGTTCAGGAGAACATTGGGTGCTGGGCAGAGCCCAGGAGCAGGGCCAGGGCCTGGGGCAGGCCCAGGCCCAGGGCCGGGTCCCGGCCCAGGCGCCGGGCCCGCGCCCGGCTGAGATTTGCCTGGGATCAGAGGCGTGACATGGATCTTTCGATGCAGGATTTTCAGAGCAATCTCCGGATCCATGATCCGCATCACGACTTGCGCCTGCAACAGGGCGTACGCCAGCTGCGGGTTCTGAAGCAGCATGTTCCGAGCTTCTTGGTGGCTGTTCTGGACGCAGAGTTTCATCTGCTTCATCAGCTCAAACATCTGCTCGGGGGGGAGGCTGGCGACCGCTCTGGTGATGGACTCGGGGGCATCTTCTGGGTCGATAGGGTCCCCGTAGGGCGAGTCAATGATGGGCGCCGCGGGCCCCAGGCTCTTGAGCTCCTCCTTGTTCTTCTCGCTGGCGGCGTTGTCCACCCGCAGCGCTCTGCCACTGAACTCCCGCCCGTTGAGGTTCCGCATGGCGCTCAGCGCCGTCTCCTGGTCCTGGTACTCGCAGAAGCCATAACCCTTGGGCTTCCCCGTCTCCCTGTCGTACACCAGCCGGAAACTGACGACAGAACCCACCTCGGAGAAAATGTCCTTCAGCTGCTCCTCAGTCGCCTCGTACGGAATGTTTCCCACGAACACGGAACGCAGGGAGCGATCCATGGCCGGATCTCTCACCGTTAAACCCGACATGATGCCGGCAGGGCTCACGGCGGATGGCGGGTTCTTCCCCCAGTCGTCCTCTGGCGACCCTCACTTCCGCTGAGTAACGGAAGTGGCTCTGCAGAATCCGGACAGAAACCTAACGGGGCCCGCCTCGATAGTTCCGCTTCACTGCGGAACCTCTGTTTCAACGTCCGCTTTAAGTCCCGCCCCGCGCCCGGGGACCGGCGTGACCGGCTGGGGCCGCGTCGCCGTTACCAGGGTAACCGGGAGCGTCCGCCTCCTCTGACGTCAAAGATCGTTTCCCTATGGTTCCACCGGCGGGAAACCACTGAGAAGCGACTTCAGGTCTGTCTGTTCGGAAAGCCGGTTCACTTTATTGTAGTAGTTTTATAATATCACATTCCAAGACAGAAGCAAACGTTTCTTTCCCATTTCAAAGTAGATTTGAGATTTGTCTGTTAAAATGCGAAAGTAAAACCTCCTGTTAAAAAAAGGTGTTTTTTTTTTTTTTACATTATCTACCTAGAAAAGGCTAAAAGCCCTTCCCCCTCCTGTCTCTTCCTGTGACATCTGTTTATGAATGACGCATGCTGTGAGGGTATTGTTTTTGTATAGGCAGTGTTTACACTAATGAAAGTAGTTTTTCGCCTTAATGATATTAACCATCTTCAATATTAGCGGTTAGCATTCTGCGACTGCCAGGGGTGGATTGTGGATGAACCACTTTTACATTGCGGGCCTTTCAGTTGGCTCTGATTTTTTTTTTAAGATTCATTTATTTTAATTGGAAAGGCAGATATACAGAGAGGAGAGACGGAGAGGAAGATCTTCCATCCGATGGTTCACTCCTCAAATGACCACAATGGCTGGAGCTGCATCAATCCAAAGCCAGGAGGCAGGAACTTCTTCCAGGTCTCCCACTCAGGTGCAGGGTCCCAAGGGTTTGGGCCGTCCTCCACTGCTTTCCCAGGCCACAAGCAGGGAGCTGGATGGGAAGTGGGGCTGCCGGGATTAGAACCAGCACTCATATGGGATCCTGGCTTGCCCAGTGAGGACTTTAGCCACTAGGCTACTGTGCTGGGCCCCTGATGATGATGATGATGATGATTGACTTTTGAAATTAGTACACCAGCTCTAGCATCAAGGAAAAAAGAACAAGCAAGCAAGCAAACAAAAAAAGTTGTGGAGATTTATGTAAATTGCCCAAGCCAAAGAGCTACGAAAAAACAAAGTCAGAATTACGGTGTTGTTTTTTCTTTTCTTTCCCTTTTATTTTCTTTTTTCCTTTCTTCTTTCCTTTATTACTTTCCACTCTCTTTCTTCCTTCTTTACTTTTTTTTTAAAGTTTACATATTTATTTGAAAGCCAGAGTGAAAAGAGAAAAATAGAGATCTTTCATCTGTTGGTTCACTCTCCAGGTGGCTGCAACAACTCACTGGGCCAAGCAGAAACCAGAGCCAGCTGCTCCATCTGCTGCTCTGCCTGGTCTCACACGTGGTTGGAATGTGCCCAAGTGCTTGGCTCATCCTCTGCTGCCTTTGCAGGCACATTAGTAGGGAGCTGCTTCAAGCATAGCAGCCAGGGCCCAGGGCCATAGCCTAGCAACTAAAGTCCTCGCCTTCCTTGCACGTGCTAGGATCCCATCCAGCTCCCTACTGAGGAATGTCTGCTTTATTATGCTCAAGTTACAAGTTGTAAAGGTTAAGGAAGGGGAGGCAAATATGACACTGTAATTGTGTAAAGGGCACATCTGTTCCCCTTGACCTTCCAGCCATGTCAGAGATCCTGTTCAGCCGGCGGGACTGGAAGCTGTGCCTCTGGTAGGCTGCAAGCCACTCCAACGAAGCTGCAGGCAGAGATCCCGGGCCACTTGCCCACATGCAACTAACCCTATTTTTACATTTCTGATGGTGGTAACTCTCATGTTTTAGTAGAGTTGTGATTTCCCTTCTAAATTATAAATCTATTTAAGGAAAGACTTTGATTCTTCTTCTTCGATTCAAAAATCTCATATTTTTTATTTCATTCCATGAAGTTACTCCATGAGTATCAAGGAGTAGACCAGAAGAGAAATTCTCTACAGGTGGACCCTGAGTATCCAGTAGTATCCACATCACTTGACCAGATTTTATAGTTAAAATACTTCAAGACTTTCTCCATTCAGAAACATTTTTTTTTTACAAGCATTCCGTTTAATTCTACTGCAGGCTAAATTTGAAAACCACGATGATATGTAGAAACTTTTAAAAAGAGATCTATTGATCTACTTATTTGAAAGCATTAGAGAGAGAGATTCATCAGTGTACACAGTCACTTCCTAAATGTGTGCAGTAACTGAGACTGACCAGGCTGAAACTGGGAGCTGAGAACTCGTTCTTGGTCTCTCCTGTGGTTGGCAGGCGATATCATTTAATGCCTCCTACGAAGCAAATTAAGTGGAAGCTGGAATCTGGAACCTGTCCAGAACTCAAGCCTAGCCCCCTGATGCGGTATGCAGGTGCCCTAAGTGGAGTCTTAACCCAGTGCCGAAGGTCCACTCCCCTTAGAACTCTCCATCATGGCCGTTGTTCTTCGCACATCTAACATGCTCTGGTGTCTGGTTTACAATACAGCTGGTTCTTGTTCCAGGTTTTCTGTGTGAGCTCTGTGTTCTTCCACCTCCTCACTTTTCCCATGCCATTTCTTTGTCAGGGGGGCCTTCTTTCTCGTCTGTGCTCCTCATTCCCTCATGTCTGTAGCTTTTTTTTCCTCTAGTGTTCATCCTAAGGGCTTTCCTTTAGAGTAGAATATTGGTTTGGTGTTGCTGTCCTGCAGCGATGGACTTGGTACACGGAGCTGATAATAACACGCATGGACTCTGACTGATGGTCAAAGCCGAAGTTTATTAGTGGCCTCAGACTTTATACACTGAGGATCATATCAGATAAGGGAGGAAGTATTGAGCTCATCAATAAAACCCAGTAACAGTTTTTATGCTTTTGTTTGGGACTTCTTTTGTCTTGTATATTCCACCAAGTGTCCTCACACACATCTGTCCCTTCAACTGTTCTTATACAAATGATATCCAATCAGGCATACAAAAGGTGGCCATTCGGTTGTTTTCATACAAATATTATCCAATCAACTGTAATCCTGTGCTCCCTGACCTTCTAGGGTCACAATGTCCTCCTACAGTTTGGTGTTCTGTTATTTTCTGTCCTCAACCCTTCTGAGTTAGGCAGTCATAATATCTCAACTTGGGCCCAGTGTGATAGCATAGCGATGACCTATATGGGCCAGGATCCCATATGGGTGCCGGTTCTAATCCCGGCTGCTCCACTTCCCATCCAGCTCCCTGCCTGTGGTCTGGGAAAGCAGTGGAGGATGGCCCAAAGCCTTGGGACCCTGCACCTGAGTGGGAGACCTGGAGGAAGTTCCTGGCTCCTGGCTTCAGATTGGCTCAGCTCCAGTCATTGTGGTCACTTGGGGAGTGAACCTTCGGGCAGAAGATCTTTCTCTCTGTCTCTCCTCCTCTCTGTATATCTGCCTTTCCAATAAAAAATAAATAAAAAAAAAATCTTAACCCATCATTACAGGGACACAGAAACAAAGAGTACTTGCCTAATATGTCCATATTAAAGGCAGAGCCAGTCTTTGAACTCAAGAAGTTAAGTTTATAAATTATTGTTCTAGAACATGAATAGCCTGAAGATACACATTTAGTTACTGGCAGACCTGCAGCATGAAACCAGGTCTCTTGAATTTAAACAATTTCTTTCACAGTTAGTCCGTTGATCAGTTATTGGGGCTGGGCATAGCCTTCTGTGGCCTTTTTCCTGGTTCTCTCTGAGTGTGACTAATTGGAATTATGGCAGTCAATGCTGTGGTAATGGATGGATGGGGGATGTATAAAGAATGAAGCAGTTTGGACACTGTTTCCTCTTTTTGTAGGGCTCTATTTGGAAACGATCAGTTAGATAAACAATTAATGCATGCTTTCTATACAATGAAGGAGCCCCGAACTTCTCAAAGCCCAAAGTAGTTCACTGTATGAAATATTTCCCCCCAAATTTTAATGTATTCATCATAAAATACTATTTAGAGCAATAGGTGGTAAATGTAATTTATTATACAAGGATACAAAGAATAATTTGCAGTTATTGGCGGAAAAAATAAGACATGGATATGAGGCTGTTGAATATATTTCACTCCATGGTGAGAGATGATGGCACGGGGCCAGGATGTCTCCCAGGAAAAGATACTGTAGTCTTCCACCACCACCCTTGCTTTAAAAATAGTGAGAAAAACAAGGCCCAGAGAAAGGTGACTTAACCAGGGTCACAAACTCCACTGGCTAGCTTGTGATTGGATCTTGACTTTTAGGTTTTCCCATCCAAGCTGTGCTCTCAGCACTTCTTGGAAGCTGTAGAGAGAGGAAAGGGATTAAGATCACAAACTTCAGGACACGGTTTCTTGAGTTGGCTGCTAGTTCAGCAAATAGCTTTGTGGCTTTGGACGACTTAATCTCTCTGTGCTTCCCTTTATTATTTTTAAGAAATAATAGAAAACATGGGTTGGATAAAGCCAAAAGCCAAGAAATCAATGCAGGTCTGCAATAAGGGTGGCAGGCACCTAACTATGTCAGTTTTCACCTGCTGGCACCCAGAATGTATCAGCAGGAAGCTGGAATCAGTAGCAGATTCAGGCATTGTACTGTGGGAAGCAGGTGTCCCAAGCAGCATGTTAACCAATGTGCCTGACAAACACTCAGCCCTTTGCATCTGTTAACTAAGCATGAAACTGAAGCGTGCACAATGGCAGAGTGATTAACACCACTCCCTGCAATGCTGGCATCCCATAAAGATGCTGGTTCAAGTACTGGCTGTTCCACTTTGAGTGCAGTTCCCTGCTCATGCTCCAGGGAGGGCATTGGAGGATGGCCCGAGTGAGTGCTTGAGCCCCTGCACTCATGTGGGAGACTCAGAAGCGGCTTCTGGCTCTTGGCTTTGGCCTGGCATAACCCTGGCAATTCAGTCATTTGGGGAGTGAACCAGTGGTTGGAGCATCTCTTTCTCAGTG